TGAGCCTGACGCGGCATTCGTTCACTGTATCTCTAAGTTCGGGGTAAATAAAACAGCTTTTAAAAAAGTTCAGAGTGAGAACACAATTTTTCTTTGCCCAAAAAAGTCCATGATGAGCAGAAGAGCAGAAGCGATAAGGGCGGTTTCGAGTTCATTTAAAACGGCAGAATGCTCGTTCGCCGAGGCCCATGGCATAAGCTGCATGAGGCACTGCCTTCAAAGTTGCATCGTTCTCGCAGTCCGATTCCTCCAAATCGCTCTCGCCACGTACTACATTCTCAATGCCCCGATCCATGCACGGTTCCGCAGTGTCGGCACCGTCATCGGCCGTAATTAAATCATCACAACAGATGTCTCACCCAGGTCGGAGTCGATGACGCACTGCCACAAATCGCTGCTGGAGTGATCTTATTCGGAAGCTTCAGGCTCAGCATCGGGCCCGACGTCGACGAAGTCGGCCTCGCGAAAACAGTTTCGCGCGCATGTAGCCATCACCGCCACCCACGAAATATTCATCTTCACAGCTGAATACCGGGACCCCCAAAGCGGCAAGTTGGCTGCCAGGTGCTCAAGAGCTATGAGCAAGGGCTCCACAACGTGGCACCTAACGCGCGGATTACGCTCAAGTCAAGCAGTCACACTTTCGCGTTTCGTTGAGCGGCAGGAAAAAGCGTGCAAGTCCTCTTGTTTGACATCCTGATAACACACGCTCACCAAGAGCGAGCAAGACGCACATACGCGACACACATGCCAGAACGTGTGGAACAGCTCTGGGCCGGTTTCTAGTCAGTAAACGAAACTAACTCGGGCCAGCGGGGCTGGCATCGCGGAGCGGTGGAGATGGCTGAAGGGGCTGTGATCAAGAGAGGAGAGCAGATTTGCGAGAAGTGAAGAGAGGGGAGGATGCAGTGAGAGGGCGACCTTGAAAACTAAAACACACGGGAAAGAGGCAGGTTGGGTTAAAGCCCCTTGAACTTCGTAACGTAGGGACACTCTCCTCCTCTGCTCTCTTTCCTCCTCGGTCTCTACTTCTTTGCACTCTCTTTTCGAATGTGGCGCTGGGTACGTTGCTCTTGCGTAGCAGACGACCTTTCGAGAAGTTAACTGCGCGCGCCAGGCAGCATGCTGTAAGCATTCGCAATAGCCGTCTCGCTCTTGGTTTCTTTTGTTTTTTAGGTATATGTGATTCAGGAGATGTTAGTTTTTTTTTATATAGTGCCACACAATCGTCTTCGCAGACAGAATTTGTGAAAACCACAGTAATTAAAGAAAAATATAAAAGATCACCAAGGGAGTGTTCATGTATCTTTTTGTAAAGCCCACTATTTTTCTCCCATACCTCATACAAAGGTATTAGCTGCACTTTCTGCTGTTTTGATAACTAATCCAAAAAATATAAGCACGAGCATAAAGCTGGTTCATGACACCGCTGCAGTGCAACATATGGTATACAATTAATTATGCAACCTTTGCCTATTTCGTATCGGCTGATCTTGCAGCGACTGATTACAAAGAAAAAAAAGAGAGAAACACCTATGGTGTAGGAAGGTAACATTGCACTCTGCAAGAGATTTTCTGAAACTCATCTATTGTTCACGTCATTCTCCCGAGGTCATGACGCACTGGAGTTACCAGTATGCTGGAGAGGTACCAGCCCTGAAGGATTCGTTAGGTATAGTATAGCTAATGCTGCTCCACGAGTCTCTTCATGCATCGTACTGTATACCGCAAGACAACTGGCGTATTTGGGACGTCTTATTCTCACAAAACAATGACGGGCATCTTACTCGCTCACTCGTTTTTTTTTTTTTTTTTTTCACGAGATCTCTGCATTCGCTTTTTTGTGTGGGCTCATTAACAATCTTGCAAAACAAAAAACTGCATTTTGGGGTGTGTTTCTTTTTTTGCTGACACAAAAGAGCCATCAATCTCACGTGTCTTTTTTTCCTTTATCTTTGAGAGCGCTGTACTTGTAAGTCGTAAATGGTATGTGTGTTATTAGTTTGAAAAAAAAACATTTGGGGGGGGGGACAGTGGTGAGTGCTGAGTTATCACGAAAGGTAACGCCATCTAGTCAGATGACTCTTATTCATAAGGAGCAAATAAGACTCCAAAAAGGGTGCGAAATGTTTTTGGAGTGCAAGAAACATATAAGCAAGAGGTGTTGGCAGTATTATGCTGGCTGAAGAGTGTAGGCTTCGATTTACCTGCTAAATGCAGCCAAGTTTTTTGGATTTCCTTCGATAAGCTAACACTGCGACATCATTTTGCTCACGCTAGCTTACGTTGAACTCCTGCTGAGAACATTACTTTTAGGCATGCCGCCAGGTTAGAGCAGAATACAACCGGACACCCGTAGTGCATTTACGCGCACGCATGAGTTTAAATCATCGGTAGCTGTTTCAATACTATAGTAAATCTTGGCCTTCACATAAACTGTTGCAGCATCTGAAGGCGCAGCAGCAGCCCTTGGCAACCGACCCTGAGGTTCGCTTTGTGCACTAAATATCTCCAAACACCCTGCAAGTTGAATTGCAAGCAAGTATCCATGAAGCACAGGTATAAGCACAGGCGCTGTGCTCCAGCACGTCCACGTTTTTGCAACCCAGAGCAAACATGGCTGTCTCAGGCGACAATAAACAGAAGAAATCTCCCCGCTGTCCCATGTCACAGCAGTTGGCCAATGACGATGCGGCGGTGGCCTCGGAGAGGTCGGGGGAGAGAAAGAAGAGAGGAGGCACGCGGTTAACCACGTATGTCGCTATTTGGCGAAGTTCTAGGGGCTTTAGATTGGGTAGCTTGCTTGAAATGTCTGCGAAACGCGCAACTTGCATGTATAAACCCTTGAAAGAGTTCCTGCGCGTGCAGAAGCCGAAGGACGGCCGCCTGGATCGGTGCGTGCAGCGGTGTTCAAAAAATCCGCATCAGTGTTCAAAAAATCGTTTTGTTGAGCCGGCGGGTTTGCATGGCCTCACCAACTTCGATATTTCGGGATTCTTTCGGGTAAATTAACAGCCATTTGCACGCTTCCGCACCTGTGCGGAGGGCATGCTGAGCCGAGTGCGAAGTGAGCGAGAACAGGTTCTAAACACGAAACAAATTGCAAATTATCAGAGTTTGTGGGGTAGTGCACGCGCGTGCGCTAGACACAGACGATCGGATAAAGTCGGGGGCCGACGATGTTGGCAAATGGTCTGGTTACTCCAGGCCAGCGATGCCAATGACAGTACCAGCAGTCAAAAACAGGGTAGTTGGCTGACCGGTCTTCGAAAGATCGGTGGCAGTGTGAAAACACGGGCCTCGTCTGGCGATGCGGGTTGCTCAGAGTAGCGGGGGGACAAAGGACGGAGGGGTGCGTAATAAAATGCAGTCGGGGAGAGCGGCAACTAGAGGGGCTCGGGGGCAAGGTCGACGTTTAACAATAAGAATCTATGGGCACCTCGCCGATGCCTGATCAGTGGGCAAAAGTGGTTTCCCGGGAAGTTGGCAGAGCGCCAACTTTGTTCACCATAAGCGATCAACAGCGTTAGAGACGTTCGTTGTTAGTGCAATTTTGTGCCATTGAACCAATGTATATTTTCATGGTCACATGGATATTGTTCGTTTTAAGCGATAGTACATTTGAAGTGGGGCCGTTATATGTGGTCTCGGCTGCATTTGCACTCTACGAATATATTTGGTGCAAAAATGTTTCTATCTCCCAAAAGTTTGTGCAAGCTGATATCGATCGTGTCACCAAGATTCTACTCTAAGTGAGCAATATAAGGAAAAATGCTGATGTTAGGAACTTGCCTTCTTTTTCATACCAGAAGAACTACTCGTGCCTCTAGGAAGAAGCATGCTTGCGCGCTTTGAACGCACTTGTGGCTTTGTTTATTCCTGTGTTTTCATTTTGTCTGAAATACTAAAACAACAAACCATTTTGAAATTTGTGATCCGATTTGAACTGTAAGTCTAAAAGGTTTAGGTGGTCAATCGCACCTGCTGAACATTTACTGATTGCCATCTCATGACAAGACGGCTCGATGCCACGTTAAGCCAAACGAAGTCAACATAACTAATATTAGACAAATTTGTGTACTACCCATCATTTCCATGCTGGCTGAAGCATTGCGCTTTGCAGCTCCCATAGACACTAGCGTCGGAGTTCTCTCTGATCTATTAATAGAATCTTCTATGATTAGAAGAGAGTGAAAATGTATGCGTATGGAAAATGTGGGTAGCCCCGCTATGGTGACTAGAGAGGGAGGTGTCAGCATTGGCGGGGCTGCGCCATGCAAGCCAGTGTGGCACAATTTTATGACGGTAGCACGTAGTCGCCTGCACGAGCCTGGAGGGATGCATGAGGTGGCAAGCACGTTCGAGCAGTCGTCGTGACACGGGGCATCCACATGTATAGGTTGCATGGGCAGCGTTCATCACTCGTATGCAGAAGCGCTTTTTTTGCCCATCTGTGAAAACGGTCAATTTGCTCACCATTCGCCGTGCTTTTTGCTGAACAGCGCTTATGCTGTTGGCTCTGACAGCCGTCAGTGCATCGTCCTGAAAGAATGCTGCATCTCCGGTGCACGGCTGCTCACACCTCCCTTTCTCGACACCATAGCTTTGCTTCTTTAGATGTTGCCAAACCAAGTCGCCATAGTGTGATGAACATCTCGTTAGGTCTTTATAATTGCTTATTTACAAAAATAAATTGCAGCACATTTTAAGGGAGGCTCTTAGAGTTTAGCACCCAAGCCATGGCCGAGTGGCAACAAAGATGAAGAGAAGACTAGGAACACAAGCACAGAAAGTAGGGAAGAGACGATGGTGCACTGCTCTCGTAGACATTTACAACAATTTTCAGAAAAGTCTACTGAGCCAGTAGCTTTTAAATCAATGACCTTACTGTGATATTCAGCTCCTGATTGTGCACTGCGCAGAAGTAACGTTCGACTGTCTCTTTCCATGAAGAGCTGCTTCACGAGTGCAGTCTAAACTTGTGCCATTTTTTTGTGCAGGACAAGCCGGTCCCTGGCACTCCGCCGTCTTCTCCCGTGATGCAGCGTCGCGGAGTCACCAGGCTTCTGCGTTCTTACCGAGCTTTGTCGCAGTGTTGTTCGCCGGCACGACCATCAAGGCTAGGAATTGTCCACGAGGTCGGTGGCACTATGACACAGCCATGCACAGCGGACTCATTGCAGGCGTGCAATGATTCAATGGCGGTCGACAGCTAGGGACAGTATCACTAGTGCCTTAGGAAAGCTGGTTATATTATTTTAATTGCAATGATATTTATGCATTGTTCGAAAGTTGGCTTAATTCCATAGAAATGTTAATTGAGGGTAGGCAGAAGGAACCCTGCGGCACACAGTGGAGGTCACCTAGTGGAAAGATGTCTGTGTAGACTGTTCTAGGAGCGTACTGCTCTGAGGTCATTGGACGACGATAGGCACCTGCAGTTTCTTTGTATGTGTGACATCAATTTTTTACTCGTGTGCCAAAATGCTAGCTGAATAATTATTTTGTGACTTTTTCTTAGTGCTGAACTATAACAGACAGAAAAATGTTGTGCACTGCTCGCAGGAATACTACGAGCCCTATTTTTTAGTTGTGAACCCTTCATAAAAAATAAACATGTGAATCGGACTTGTGCAAATGGACCCAAGGGAGAAGCAACAATGTTCCTGTGCATCGACATGCTTCGGCCACAGGGCTGGAATGGCGGACCGCTCATGTGCACAGCACAGAATCAGTGCACCTCTCCAGGAACTGGCACGCACCTTCACCATGTCAGACAGGCCCTGTGCGAATTGCTCGTCTATCATAATAGTCTGCATCAGAATGATGTCTTAGCATATAAAATCTCGGAAAGTGTTTTTAAGCAACCAGAGTCAGGAATACAGACAGTTAAGTTCGGAAGAGGTTTTCATTTTAGCACTAAGCATTGTACTGCAGTACAAGCATGAATTCTTTATTGCTCATGCACAACAGACAAAGTAGCAATATTCATCTGTAATTTGAAAATGATGGATATCTATTTGTGATTGACAAACATACATCAGAAACTGCTGTATAAACTGACATATGAACCTAATGTCGCTGAATTCATTTGATAGCAATCTGCACATTACTGTTGAGCTCATTGACCACATTGTTTGCATTATCATGTCATTTGCAGGTTTGTTTTATAAGGTCGCTTCTACAAAGATGTAACACAAAGCTTTATGGTTGAGCTTAGTGAGAATAACCGGTTTAATCCGGACAGGGGTGAAACAGCTGTGCCAATGTCCGCCAAACATGCTTATTTGTGCCACCCTGCTCTAAACCGCTGTTGCACCAAACTCGTTTATCAGTGTCGTACTGAGCACCCTAATGTAGCCACAAAGTGCCACAGCTATCAAGCCCCTGTGCAAGAAGACGTGGCTGAAAAGTCCTGCTTTTCATTAAGGTTGTTGAACAGCAGCTTTGTAGTTTGATTATTAAAGACGCGATAGGTGTTGCTGGCGTGCTCTATATTGGCAGGCATTGGCGCAGATAGCTCCTGAACATTTTCTGCGCTCTCGATTCAAAGTGACTTTGTGAGAAAAGCATCTCTCTCTGGTGCTGCCATATGCTCTCATACCAGTGTTTTCTAAAGTTATGCAACATCGGATCAGAAAAAGTTGCATACCTGCCAGCTTCACAATTTGTTGCCCATGGAGAGATTTATTTTTTTTAACTTGATAGCAGCATCCAGAAAAGCAGAAATGGTGACGGCAACAGTATTCAAAAGAAGTGGAGCTAACAGCCTAGCCAGAGTCGGTGCACAAGACGGCTCATCAAGTGCTCGTGTGTATTCCTGCTCATTTTGCTACTGCAGTCTCTTATACAGTGCTAATGAACTCTGCACTTGACATTCGTGCGTTCAGGTTAAAAAAGTGGGCAGCTGTACATAGCTAAAATGTCACTGTTTTACTAAAAGAGCTAAGCAATGATTGCGATGGCAATAAATCGTGATGTTATACAAAGTAAGTTAGGCTAGCAGCTTACTGCAGTACTATCTCAGTAAACACTCTCAGTAAATGGAGATTTGTTCAATTTAATGGCTGCCTAAACCGAACAAGTGCTTCTGGCAAGATTGGTTTCATGCTTGCATTCTGCACCCTTGTTCATCTCTCAGTAAACAAAACTCCAGTTAAAACAAACATAATCTTTTCTGGGTTCCATTTAACAAGAGTCTACTGTATTTCGAATTCGCTACCTCTACAACACACTGGTGTAAGAGAATACTGCTGTTTCAGGGAAAGCAAACTCTTTTCGCACAATCGTTGCACAATGAGAATGCAGCATGTAGAAGCTTATGCTGATGGCTGCTGATCTAACGTGTGTGCCGGTGATCCGGACTGCGCCTTTTGAAGCAAATATCACTGTTGCGGCTTTCTGAGCGACAACCCCCCTTCCCCGCTCGCACCTTTTCATGCTCGTTCAAAGTACCCGGGTGTTCCTTCTCTCAGGGTTCGTACAGGTCCTTGAAATTGTTGAAGACCCTTGAATTTGAAAATGGCATTTTTAAGGCCCTTGAAAGAAGATCCGCAACTTGAGCGCTCGTGCTGTGTGCCTTCTCTTTGCTTTGTGTCTGTGTTTACCCCCGCGCTCCCAGTTCGCTGAACCAACACGAAGATGGGCAAGCGACCCCATACATGCAACACACCGCTCAAACACGAAGAACGCACGAAAAGAAATCCCACAGGACTAGCGCTGATCAACGACTGTCATAGCTCGACACTGGAATTGTGCTGCTTAAACAAACCAAGAACGGTGCTAGAAAAGAACACACATCTATCTACAGGATGAATGTAAACTAACCACTGTCACAGTTGTTACTTTTTGGTTGTTGAGCAACGTGCTGAGAGTGTCAACTGTGCACACACCGACACTCTTGATGGGGTGGTGCCATCGAATTTCAAGGCTATAGCAAGCACCGTGTCGATTTAAGAATATATTGCTATGTAGCTGACATATCAGTGGTCAGAAGAGGACAACGAGGAAGTGGTTTGTCGGTTGTGTGTGCTGTCCTCCACCTAAGTCGATGCTATACTCATCAGCTTCAATATAGATTTTTAATAGACTCACCTTGTGCTATTTTTACATAACATCTTTGTGGTGGAAGTGCTGGGTACTTCCCTGTCTTCGTCATGAAGCTCCGCAATGGCCGCATTATCATAGGTCCAATCATGTCACAGGTTGAACAACCATCGTCTTCACCATCTGCCCCTTTCGTGACTTCTACGTACGTCATTCTACCTCCTGCTTGTGATCCCGGTGTATTTTCTAGTCAGGATGCTGTTGACGTCGACAAATGGATCAACCGGTACGTACGGGTCAGTGCAAGCTATAGGTGGGACCCGACTCTTATGCTTGCCAATGTGATTTTTTACCTCGATGGCCCACCGTGGGTGTGGTTCAAGACGCACGAAGTGGAGATCACAAGCTGGGACTCCTTTAAAGAGAAAATCCGCAACCTTCTTGGCGACACCGTTGGGCGGCAGATCGCAGCACGGAATCAACTGGCGGCTCGTGCACAGACGGCTCGTGCACAGTCGTACGTCGCGTACGTTCACGACTTCATCGCCCTATGCCGCCAGATTGGCTAGCACATGAGTGAGTCTTAGATGAGTGAGTCTTAGAAAGTGGCCCATGTGCTGAAAGGCATAGCAGACGACGCCTTTAATCTTCTAGTATATAACAATGTTGCCACCGTCAATGCCATTATTAAAGAGTGCCGGCGGTTCGAAGAAGCCAAGAGCAGCCATATTACTCAGCGATTCACCTGGCTGTCCAACATGGCCGCAACCTCATCGTGTGAAGCTGCCCGCCAGTCCCCTACGTATGGCAACGTCACGCGCATTGTTCGTCAAGAAATCGAAACTGCCTGTCCGGCTCCTCTTCAGCCACCCGTTTTCGCAACGCTCGCCTCTGACCAACAACAGTCGTCAGTGGCGTTAATACAAGCTGTGGTGCGGCAGGAGTTTGTGAACCTTGGCCATTCATCAGCATGTCCCTTGACTCACCCTGAAGTCCCGTCTTACTCCCCAGGACACGCTCGCCGTTTACCTCCAACAATGCCCTTCTCCAACAATGCCTTTCGGAATGGCGAACACCCGACGACCGGCCTAGTTGTTTTTCCTGCCACCAGCCAGGGCACGTTTCTCGCTATTGCCGCCGCCGTCGGTCAAATCAACCAGGTCAGACCTTCTCTACCTCTACGCACATGGACCCGACAACCCCTCGCCGTTCAGCCGCCACACCCTTTAGTTTCTATTCATCGTCATCTTGCGAGCCTTCCAATGATCCTCTTTGCCCTGTCGCCGCTGCACTGATGCCCCTTCATCCGGCCGCCGCAACTCCCGCTCCCCGTCGTTGCTACGTCGCCAATCCCGCTCTCCGCCACCTCGACGCTTTTCGTCCCCAAGTTTCTCTCAACGATCGCAGCAGGAAAACTACTTATTGCTCCCTCCCCCCTTCGCCTACTGCCGCACGCTGTATTGTTCTATCTGCGTGCCACACATCCTGTCTTTTTTTAATTATCCGTGCACCACAGCGGCATTCACAAACGGTGCGAGTGTAGAGACACCCCAGCTGATATGCACACAGTGAGCAAAGGTCACAAAACTTCCCGCGCCAACTGACGGTCACTTTCTGCAAATGTGAAACTTCTAGGCTTTCCCACATCCCCGTGATTTTAAAGCGACGATGACAAGGTTTGCGGTCGTCATAGCTGTCGCAAAAGGCCATTCATCGCCATCGCATAGCAGGTTTCTGGTTAACTAGAAAAAAATCAGTTGTCGCCCAGAAAAGATCGTGACGATTTCTGCAACATGATAGCACCCCCAATTCTCGCTTCGGTTACAATGCGCTCCTCATGCTTGTTATCCACGTGTACTTAAAAGAATGCTATATATAGCCTACCTTTTCTTCTCATGTGAACAGCAAGACCACTGCTGTATTTTGTCATTAATCTCATTATCAACGGTTTGTTGTGGTAGCTTAGTGCAATGTAAACAATTCATCACTGTCTTCCTGCCAGGTTGCCAAAAATCTGGCTAAGTGCATCATAGTGAACTAGTGCACGGTTCTGGGGGTCCCTCAAGATCACAGCAGATACCACTGCTGTGGTTGAATGATTGCGAGAAAATAAAGCCCCGAAATGCTTTTATGGAGTGCGCGGGTGGCGCAGGGACAGCTTGCAGAAGACAGCACCTTCAACTACCGAAGATTAGTGAAGTGCAAAAAAGCAGCTAACAGTGTATGCGTATACCAAATGCGAAAGGCCAAGTGACCTAACTTTTTTTTGTGTGTGTGTTACCGCATTTCTCGCTCCTCCCTAAAAAAGTTTACATAAAACTTGCTATGCATAATAAACGCACCCCCAACTCTTCTCATTAAAAAAAAATGCATTGATTAAGGGAGTAATTATGGTACATGTAATAAAGTGACCACAGCAATTTTTCACTGCCTCAATGTAATGTATAGCTATGTGGGTCCCAGACAGACGAGGCATATTCTAGCTGAGGAAGGACATAGATGCTGTAAATCAAAAGATTTAGTGATAGAGGGGCAAGATAGAAGTTTTTTTTAAGTAACCTAAAGTTTGATTCCCTCTAGCTAATATGTAATGAACGTGATGTTTCCATGATAGGTTACTACAAATGTGCACACAAAGGTAGCGATAAGAAGTGGTAGATTCCAACGGACTATTGTTAAAAAGAGTAGGACGGAGGGGTAACTTTGCGCCGAGTTGCGCGCAAGCTTGAATATGAAAGAAAGTGGGTTCGGGATGGAAGATGAGCTTTTGTTCAGGCGGCCCGTTCCCGCCAAAATATATAAACAAGCTGGAATGGTCTTTGTCAACCTCTTGATGCCTGCTGTGTTTGTGTGCCACATTTTGGGCAAAGGAACAGTGGCGTCCGACAGGGAGACAAGGTTAGAATGCTGACAAAGAGGAAGGGGACACAGCGCGAAACTCACATTTCAATGTGTTTTTGGAAAATAAAGACTTTAGTTAGTTATAAATGAGTCGCCAAAACTCTGCACATGTGTGCAGTGATACCACTCCTGCACCAAAGTGCACCAAAGCAGATTTACTGCGCCATCCTGATAATACCAATGAAAATTGTGCCAAACTTCGCCAAAGTCGGATTTGAGAGTGTCCATCACTGGCAATAGCCACGACGCCGGGTCAAAACATGTGCACCTTGTTCTCGGGGCCACCATAGTCACAATCGGGTGCCTAAAATTATTCCGCTGAATTAGCAGTAGTTGCGCGCGCATATTAAGTAATTCATGATGTTTGGTGCCGACGTTTGATGCTGACGCAACTTCTGTTGTGCAAGTCAGCTTAACGGTGAAACGCGCACTTAACAAGGGCTGGTGACGTCTATTCTAATCTGTATCGTGAAACTAAGGCGGCGATTCATCGGCGGACATTATTCGTTCGAGAAACGCTGCTGATAGCTTGTCTGAAGTATTGTGCGGCACGTAATTAAAGCAATTTTCACTAACAACTACACACGTACACGCTGCCAGAATGTGTATCACGTCTACTCCTGGACATCGCACACGATCTGATTTTCGCCCGCACTTTGAGTCCACAGAAGAACACATGCACCGTAGAAACGCGTTGACACTTTTTTTAATATACTTCATTCATGGAAATTCATTCAGAAGTTCATTTTCATAATTATTTCCATCAGCACATCCCCGATTATAATCGCTGTTGTGGTAAATGCTCCTAAAACGCCCTGC